TGCTGGGATTACAGGTGTGAGCCACTGAGCCCAGCCGGCCCCTCCCGATCTTCTTATCCTGCTATTGCATCTGCATAATGAACTCTTGAGGGCTCTGAGCAGAGCCGTTGGAGGTACAAAGATAGTACAAGAACCCCAACTTGGACTGGATGAAAAGGGAGACAGAGAAATCAGAAAGGTTGGAAGGAAGAAGCTAGAGCAAAGAGGGGAGGAAAAACTTAAAGAGCAATGCTAGGCAGTACTGGTCAGAGGCCTCCCTGAGAAGGCACTGCAAGGTTTACTATGAATACGCCTTTCTAGCCAGTGGTTTGGGGGTGCCCCAGCCCATCCTCAAGGCTTACACTGCCCTTGGAAGAACTGGCTGACCTCAGTGACCTGCCCCATCCCACTTTTGGGAGACAAAAGAGTTGGCTCTAAGAAACCCTTGTGAATCAACCAGAGCACATGAGCAGGGCACGGAGAGTGCAGGCCCAACAGGCTAAAGATACCCAGCAACCCCAAGTGATCCCCTCTGTAGTTGAATCTAAAGTCCCCTTACCAATTAATGTCTGTGTGCGTGAATTCAGTGAAATCTACTGCAGACCTAAGGTCCACTTGCCCTGGCAGGGAATGTCTTCCTTCCCTTTCACGTATGAGATCCTTTCTCTGGCTCTTTCAGGATTTTCAAACCCTCTGCCAAGCTCTTGGTAGATGAATCCAACCCCTCCTGGCGTGGAGAAACTCCTTGACCTGGAAGGTGGTTTTCTGGGGCAGGGGTGAAGATAAGGATAGCAAAGGAGGCAGACTTTTCTTCTGACCAATGGAAGAGAATGAAGATCTCACTCCCAGCCCCCACCTTTGCAAAGTGGACCAGGCCTTATCTTCATCCCTCTCTCACGTGCACATACCCAGGCAGGCTCACCCAAACTACAGAAAAACCCTCTAGTGCAACGGGCTCATTTAACAAATGATCAAACTGAGGCCCAAGGTCACAGAACGAGGGCACCTCCAAGCACAGAACGAGGGCACCTCCAAGCCCAGAACAAAGCTGCCCAGTCTCCAGACAGCCTCTGCCAGCAGGGTGGGAATGGAGGCGCTTGGGACCATGGGTGAGGGGATTGAGCCCGAGAGAAGGGGCTGCCAGGGTGGGAATCTGCAACCAGTCCCTGCCTCGCTGGCCTCTTCTACTTCATGAGCAGCTTTTAGAAGCAGATCTTGTCATAGGGCCTCAAGGCCATGTGTCCAGCCTGGCGGGCCGGGCCGGAGGCAGGTAGGGCTACAGGAACAACTCCAGGTAGCTCAGCTGCTTCGAGAAGCCTGTAAGCAGGCGACCGGCCCCTGCCTCTATCTCCCACGTTTCACAGGCCGCCATCACTCAGGGCTGGGTCCTGGAGATGGTGGAGCGGTGGTGGTAGGTCAGGACCCTGGCAACCCAAGGTGAAGCTGGGTGAGGCCCCAACTGGCCTCTTTCTGCTCACACTTCATCTCCTGTTCCCTCCTTATGCTCCTCAGGAACCAGACCCCTTTTTGTTAACTGTTAACCTTAGCTGAGTTCCTGTTTCTCTTTCTCTCTGCCCCCTTCTCCTCACGCCCCTTCTTCTTTCTTTATCTCACTGTATCTTCATTTCTCATTTTTTTCCTTTCTTCTTTTGCTTCATTTCTGCCCTACCTTCACTTTCTCTTTTGCCTCCATTCCTTTCCCTTTCCCGTCCTTCTTTCCATTCCTTCTTGCCCTTGTCCCTATCTTTTCTCCTTTTCTACCTTTCTTTCTTTCTGTCTCCCTTCCGTTTCTTTTTTCTCACTTTTACCTCCCTTTCTTTCCCTTCCTTTTTCTTACTTTTACCTCCCTTTCTTTCCCTTCCTTTTTCTTTTACTCTCTAGCTCTCTCCTTTTATTTGCTGTTTCTTTCCATATTTTTCTCTTTTCTCTTCCTTTCTGCCTTTATCTCTAATCTTTTTTCTGTTTTAACAGGGCACAGACTATCTCTAATCTTAAAAATCCAAACAAACCTAGTCCTGCTTCTTCCTTCTGCCTTTTATCAATATTCCTTTCATGTTACCTCTATCCCAGCCACCCTCTACCCCTGCAGAGTACCTTTCTGTCTCCAGCATTAGGGCCTTTTCATAGCTTTTCCTCTCTCCCAGTCTTTTCTCTTTGTTGTTCTGATTTTTTCCAGTCCTTTGTGCTGTTTTCCTAGACCTTCTTCCTATCTTCCTTTGTTTCTAAATTCCCTCTTGGCAACAGGCACATGGCATAACACTGGCCCCTCCCCAGTTGAGGTTTTTGTCTTGTGTCAGCCCAGTCATCCTTCATGCATTTATTTCTCAATTCCTCTCAACTTGAGACTCAATCTCAAGGGCCTGGGAATAGAGCTGTTTCCCTGTTTTCCCCTACTTGAGAAGTCAGGATTGGGTCCACAGTTCCCCACTACAGGCTTAGGGAAGCCCTGCCAAACTGCTGTCACTCCATCAATCCTAAGAAGAAAGGGGAAGAGGAGAAAGGAGAGGAAAAGAGAGATATTCCCATAGATCTGTGGGATTGGGCTGGGGGGTGGGGCGGGGGGGGTAGTATTGGAGAGGCAGGAGCAAAAAGGATCACATTCATCAAAGGGGGAGTGGGGTAGGCAGAGGACCAGACACACCTCTCAGAGCACACAGAGCCCCAGCAACCTGCAAGAAGACAGCTCCCATGTTTGCTTTGGGACTGGGGATGGATGAGGCCTTCCATCTAAATCCTCTGGGCTGCAGAGGTGTGAAGGGCCACTGGATGTGAGGACAGAGAGAAGGGCTTACATTCGTTTTGAATATCAGTGGCCTCAAAGACCCTTTTTTTGGAAGACCAAGCCAAACTCCTTGTAGGCAGTGCTAGCCAAAGCCCTCCTAAACCACTCAGCTAGGCCAGTCCAACTCTGTCCGGGGCTTGCCAATGAGCAGATGCCGAGCAGGTGCCAGGCTAGCCGCTGGGCCACCAGCAGAAAAACTTCAGGAAGAGTGAAAACAAAGGCCTGGACAGATTCTCGGCTTCTGACCCAGCAGGGCCAAGTGGCCTCTGGAAGTGTGGGCCCAGGAAGGGCCAGAACACCATGGGAATTTTCTCTCCTGGGATCCACATCACTTCCTGGCCCTTTCCAAGGAGTCCAAATGTGTTCTCTGCCACCTGCCTGGCTCCTCCAGCCTAGGGCTCCCCAGGAGGGGCCCAACCTATAAACTAAAGGCACAGTACAGACCCTGCCTGGCTGGCCTGGCTGAACCTCCCTGCCCAGGGACACCACGGGCTCCAGGGTACCCCACACCCCCTCCTGCAGCGGCCTCTGCCCTCCTCCACTTGCCCAAGCCACCCAAGAGCTTCTACACCTTCCTGGGCCTGCCCCTCACACTTGTCCTGGGCCCCAAGTTCAGCTGTGCCCTCTGAACCTGCTCTCTGCTCTTGACTGCCCTTTGAAGAGCCTCTCCATCCCTTCCTCCTGGGGCATCTCTTGGGTGGGGGAGGAAATCTCAGCCCTGGGAGGGGAGTAGGAGCCTCTTTTCCTTGCCCTCCTTTGGGAGCTGGAGAAGACCTGGAGGTTGTGCTAGAGGTGGGAGGGGACACTCGCTGGGTTCCATCTTAGGGAAATGGGTCTCTGACTCAAACTGGATTCATGGGGGAAAAAAAAAAAAAAAAAGATTTTTTGGGAGTTGTTCTTTCTTTCGGGTCACTCCTAACTTAGAATCAACATAAAGTCCCTGGACAGCAGGGGCCTGGGCAGTCCCGGACTAAGGCTCTGGGCGGATCCCCCGCCCGTCCGGCAATGTAGGAAACTAGGGCTGGCGCTGCCTTCCCTTTTTGCGGGGCGCGCCTGGGGATCTCTAAGCGTCTGTCCCTAAGGGCCTGCTGGGGCGGGCGGGTTTGGGACGCAGCTGGGTTTTTCTAGGCTGGTAAAGGGTCCCGACTGGGGAACGAGCACACACGACCTTCTTTCAGAACGGGAAGGGGAGCACCCTCTCTCCCACTTTAACCCTCAAAACCCCAACTCCGCTCCCTTCTCCATCTCCCCTCAAAAAACTTTTCCGAAGTTCCCACAAGTTGCGTTTGAGGAAAGAAGTCGTCCCCCTCAGACTCTGGGTTTCTCGGCCCCTAACCCTCCCCTCAACCCCCAGTTTAAGAAGCAACCCCCCACTCCCCTGCCAGCTGCCACCTTAGTCCCTAAACTCAGGGAGCAAAAAATGCACCTGACAGAAGTCCAGCCCCAGCCCGCATTTCTCCAGGGAAAGGAAGATGAGCGTCAGCCTGCAGGGGAAACAGGGTGGGGTAAGGAGAGGGAGAGACCGGGACGGGAAGACACGCTGTTTTCGGGCTGAAGCGCACTCTTCCCGGGCCAAGCTTACCTGCTCCGAACCAGCTCCTCTAGACTTGATTTCCATCCGCTCAAAAGTTTGTCCTTCTCGCAAACGATTCCGGGAGGGGCGCAAACTCGGCCCTTGAGGAGTGCAAGTGAGCCGGGTACCCTTGAAGGCGCAGGCTCCCGATCCAGAGCAGGCCCGGGGAAAGCGGGACTCGGGGGCACGGTCGCCAAAGTGTGGACCCGAGCAGTGATGAAGAGGGAGAGCGTTCGGGCGCCCGGGCTGGGGCTACCCTGCTAGCGCTACCCTGCTGGCGCGGGACGCCCGGAGACAGAGTGGGCGCTATAGCGGGAGTGGCGAGCGGGCCCGGGCGGGCGGGGGAACTGGAGGGAGAGGTCCCTGGGTCCCTGGCGACGTCTCTCGCTTCCTCCAGTTTCTGCCCCGCCGTTGTGCCCCAGCCCACAACATTCCCTCGATCCCTTCTGGGGCGGCGCTCAGGACCCCCACAAGGCGCAAAGGAAGGGTGAGTGGATGAGTAGCCCCTCCCATCTTAGCCCCTCCTCAGCCTCCACGCCACAGCCCCCCCCACCCCGTTTTTCCCCAGAGCCGAGGGACAGAGAATTGCGACTAGAAATTCGATCATTTGGTACGAGGGACCACGTGGTCAGGGGCTGGCCAATGACCAGGCCGCCCGGGATGAGCTAATAATGGAAGCAATTTGTAACTTTCAGTAGCTCTCTAGGCCTGGGTACCGGAAGGAGGGAGGCGGGCAGAGGAGGGGAGATGGGCACCCCCAGTCTTTCCATCCTCCTCATTCGTCTAGGGGCATTCGGATCCCCTGTTTCTTATTTCCCCTATCACCCAGGCACTGGCAGGGTCCTTTGCCCACTCCTGTTGGCCACGGCGGCTCCAAAGCGAGGTAAGCTGGTCCTCTACCCCCAAACTTCACTCCCCTCCCCCTTTACTGGCACCTGCCAACCACAGCCTCCCTTCCTGTCCCATTAGTCACTTTAAATCGGACTTTGTTTTTCCTCTTAGTTGAAAGAAAAAATATCTTTTTGTATTCTTTTGTGTAACCTATCTCCGACTTGGAGAAAATTTTAATACAAATTAATACTTTTATTGGGGGGTGAGTGGTACTTTCCTCTTTTTCAATCAATTTTTATACTTGCTGCTTTATGGAGAGTTTACTTTTATTTGGGGATGTTAGTTACACTTTATGTCTTCACATGTGTTACTTCTTCAGTGATGAGTTCAACTCCTTTCTCCACATCATCCTCCAATTTTGCTATTTATAAATATCACCTAATAGATTGAGTTTATTCATTTTTCTCCTAGTTTTCTCAGCTGTTACAGAATCACCACAATTTTTTTTTCTCTGTGTGTGGATGAGGTTTTGTGTTGATTCCTCTTTTTGTTTTGTAAATGAATTATTGTTTGGGAAAGTCTGGGGGGGTGTAAAAAAGCTCTCTTGATTAATTCCAACCTCTCTTCTTTTGAAGAACAATCTGCTTGAAATGTTTTATGTATTTTCCTCATTTTTATTATGTTTGAATTTGAGGTATTTTACCTTCTTTTAAGCCTGACTTTTTTTTTTAAATGTGATCTTTTGCATGTTAACCATTGTTAAGGGTTTTATTTTATAAACTTCAACGGTTAGTAGATTTACCTACTTTTCTCTGACCTCCTTTCCACGCCTGCCTCCTCCATCACAAAACCCCATCCCCAGCTTCCACAATCTCAGCTTCCAACTGACTCATCCTCCCCTCTCCTCCCAGACAAGGAGGGATGCCTGGGAAGCAGACAGTGTCCTTCTTGGGTCAGAACCTGTGCTCTGGTTCTAGTTCAGGACACTTCCAGTCCAACCTCCAAGCCGGCAAAACCAGTGAGAGCAGAATTTCTGTTCAACTTTTTCATTTGGGACTAAGTTCTTCCCACTTGGCTGTATTCTGCACAACTCTCTAATACATGAAACTGAATTTTAAATCCTCATCTTTTTCCTAAATTCTAAGAAAAATGCAAGCAGATTGTTTTTCTTCCTTAAATGTAAGCTGTTAGCTTAGCAGTCAGCCTTTTGGGTCTCTTACCTCCTGGGGGAGACGTCTCAGAGAGACACACAGTGTTTATTCTTCCTTTTAGTTTTGGTTAAGGTAGAAGGGGCAGGAATCGGGGAATCCCATGTTGATTTCTGGCTCTGGCTTTGAACAAAGAAGGGTAGAGCTGGTCTGGGGACTCGTCCCTTTGGTCAGTAAGATTTGTCTTAAGAGAGAGTTTGGAGTAAATCCCAGCTCTGAGGAAATTCTTTTTCACATTACTGTGAAGATAAACCATTAAAATGGTGTGACATGGTTTCAAACTATTCAGATTCATCGAAATAACAAAAATAAAATTACAAGAGTAATTCATGTTTCCACAAGATCTGCCTCCAGTGACTGTCCATTTCTCTCAGGGAAACAGAACCCAACTGGGCAGAAGTAAAACTGCCGCCCCTCCCCTCTCGGCTCCCCAGTCACATTGACATTCTGGGCACATTTGGCCCAGCCCCCGTCCCTGTTTCTCCCAAGTATGAATCTAAATTACTATTAATAAGGGGCCTCTCCAAGTTAATTGGCATTAAAAGAATTCATTTCAATTTGTTAATATTAAATGAATGCTCTGCACTTTAGCTCCCTTCTTCACCCTGGATTCCCAGATGAGTGATGGGAAGAGGGGGCAGGGAAGTAGAATGAGGATTTTATTTCTGACTCTCCAGCTTAGCCACTGTGGTGCCTCCCCTGGGGGTGTCAGGCACAGGCACAGTGGGGGCCTGATTGGGGAAAGTCTGACGGTCTTTTTGGGTGAAATTCATTGGTTTCAGCAGGAGTTGTGGGGGAGGGTGGGAAGGAAGCTGAGGGAGAGCGACAGAATGGCTTGGGGGACTTTGTGGGGAGTGGAGGGACTAGGGAGAAAGTGGGAAGGGAAAGAGACAGAGATCAACAATGGTTTTGGAGAACAAAGGTGGTAGGCTGTGGGGGTAAGGCAGATTTGTGAAGAACTGGTGCTAGGAACTAAACAACTCATCTAGAAAGGAAGGGACTTCGGGGATGGGGTGGGTAGGGGGTATTTGAGGCAAAACAGCTAGGGGTTCTGAAACCTTTTTTTTTTTTTTTTTTTGAGACGGAGTTTCACTCTTGTTGCCCATGCTGGAGTGCAATGGGACAATCTCGGCTCACCAAAATCTCCACCTACCTGGTTCAAGTGATTCTCCTGCGTCAGCCTCCCGAGTAGCTGGAGTTACGGGCGCCTGCCACCAAACCCAGCTAATTTTTGTATTTTTAGTAGAGACAAGGTTTCTCTGTGTTGGCCAGGCTGGTCTCGAACTCCTGGCCACAGGTGATCCACCCGCCTCAGCCTCCCAAAGTACTGGGATTACAAGCATGAGCCACTGCGCCCAACGGCATTCTGAAACTATTCATATTTAGCTGTGTGACTTGGGGCAAGTTGCTTAACTTTTATCTCTGCCTTCGTTTCTTGACCTGTAAAACAGGGATAATAATAATAGAACTTGGCCGGGTCCAGTGGCTCATGCCTATAATCCCAGCACTTTGGGAGGCCAAGGCGGGCAGATCACCTGAGGTCAGGAGTTCGAGACCAGCTTGGCCAACATAGTGAAACCCTATCTCTACTAAAAATACAAAAAATTAGCAGTGTGGTGGCAGGCGCCTGTAATACCAGCTACTTGTGAGGCTGAGGCAAGAGAATCGCTTGAACCCAGAAGGTGGAGGTTGTAGTGAGCTGAGATCGCACCATTGCACTACAGCCCAGGCAACGGTGCAAGACTCCATCTCAAAAAAAAGAATATTAATAATAGAACTTAGGCGGTTATTCAGAATCAGATGAAATACATGTCCTGTGTTTTCCACAGTGCTTGGCACATAGAAACTGCCAGTAAATATAAGCTCTTTTTGTGGCACAGTGGTTAACAGGATGGATTCCACAGCGAGATGGTCTGGTTTCGAATCTCAGTCGTTCCTTATATTAGTTGTATGACCCAGACAAGTGACTTCATCCCTTGTGTTTTAGTTTCCTTGTCTGTAAAATGGGGTTAATACTATCTAGTTCAAAGGCTGCTGAGTCATGTGTACAAAAAGCCTGGAACAATGCCCATCCCACAGGAAACACTATATAAGCATTGGTTATCATTGATATTATTGCTCTTCTGATCTAGGAAGGTCGGAAGCAGAGGCACAGCTGAGCTATTACTAATAGGCTAAGACTGGAATCCGATAAACCCCTTCACTCCTATCCCAGAAGCTAGTCCTGCAACTGGGGCCGCATAAGAGGGCTTAGGGAGAGATCCCATAACCCTGGAAGCTGGGATGTCCAAGTTCTTCCTCTGCTGTAGCTCTTGAGTTGGTCGTACCTCTAAGACCCATAGATTTGAAGTCACTTCTTTTCCCCTGGGAGGACTTCTCCCATTACCAGCCCGTAATGGGAGAATTACTTTCTTGGTCTAATAACTCCCTTTGGTAGACAGCTAGTCCTGGGAGTATGAGTTGCGGGAGGTCAGGTAGAGCAGAGGAGACTAAATATCCTCTATGTACCAGCCCACACACATTTGACCTCACCAGAGGGTGGGGGAGACAGATTCGAAGAGATGAAGTGATCTGACACAGTCCTAAAGCTAGAACTCAGCAGAGTTAGAATCTGAACTCTGATATTCCAATGACAATCTTGAAGCCCTTCCATTGCTGCATATTTTTTGAAGGGAGGGATGGGATACATGTAAGTTTGGGCCAGGACCATGGGGTAGATGGAAAATGGGCGTGGATAGAGAGTTGGAGTAGGAAGTGGCCAAGCAGGAATTTTTCAATCATGGAAGACTTCCTGAAAAATGAGATTCTAGATCAGGGTTCAGATGGTCTGGTAATGAGGAGAGGAAGTAAAGATGAGGAAGGGAGCCATGCATTAGCAAAGAAGGAGAAGAAAAAAGGATTCATGCAAAGATTGGGTCAGAGCAATGGACATGAATTTGATTTGTCCTGGGTTTGCCTTGCTGGCACCATTTATTGAGGGCATACTATGTACCAGGTACATACATAATCACATCTGATGCTCACAACAGCCCTGACAAGTGGGTTTCTTGTCCCTATTTCCAAAAGAGTTCATTGAAGTTCAGAGAGCTTAATCCCTGCTTTAGGTTACACAGTGGTAGCTGGGTTTCCTGGCACCGGAACCCATACCTAGGCTGCCTCTGAGCATGGCTACTGTGTCCCAGTCTCAACTTGCATGACTGGTTCAGGTCCTCCTGTTCCCTCACGTCTGTAGTCACTCCTGGTGACTGGGAATAAGGGGTTAGAGTGTGAGCTGAAACAGAGAGGGAGTGGCAGACAGGCAGTGGGGACAGAAATTCTTCTCACATCCACCCATGTGAAGAAGATGGATAGGGTGACCTCTCTGGAGGGAGTCTTCCAAGCCACTTTCCTGAGACTGCTGATCTTTGGATGAATGGCGGGGACCTGATTGGGTGTGTGTGTTGGGGGGTGTTCACATTGTTTTCTGGGCTGTGGACTTTATTTCCCTTCCTCTGGGAAGAGGACAGCTCAGGTGTGGGTTTGAGCCCCAGATGAAGACTGCCCTTTGTCCACTAAAATTTCTTCTTTTCTTGCTGCACGAGGGTAGAGACACCCAGCTGGACACGATTTCTCATCTGCTCTTGTTGCCAGGTGTAGACACAAGGGAATGTGAAGCAAGTATGTCCTAATGCCTGAGGACATTGGGTAAATTCTCCTTTGTGTTCTGACTTTCATGTGCTGGGCAGATGTGCCTGAGACAGGTTTGACCTGGCAACTGAAAAGACATCCCTGAGAGAAGACAAAGCTCAGGTGTGAAAGGAATGTGCATCCCAGCTGACCAGGTGGAACAGAGCTGCCTGCTGTCTGGAACTGCGTCCTCCCAGACTAAGTGAGAAATAAATTTCTCTTTTCTATATGCTACTGTGTTTTGGGCCTTTATGTTATAGCAATTTTGCTGTTGTCCTTCCTAATTCACGTTCTCACACCAGATATATCATTTAAAATTCAAAAGATTACATCAGGCCAGGTGCAATGACTCGTGCCTGTAATCTCAGCACTGTGGGAGGCCAAGGCTGGTGGATTCACTTGGGGCCAGGAGTTCGAGACCAGCCTGGCCAACATGGTAAAACCCCAACTCTACTAAAAAATACAAAAATAAGCTGGGTGTGTTGTGCACTCCTGTAATCCCAGCTGCTCGGGAGGCTGAGGCAGGAGAATCGCTCGAACCCAGGAGGCAGAGGTTGCAGTGAGCCGAGATCTTGCTACTGTATACCAGCCTGGGCTACAAAATGAGACTCTGTCCCCCCCCCCGCAAAAAAAAAGAAAAGAAAAGAAAAGAAAACGGATTACATCAGATCATGGAATAACTGTAATGTAATAATATTTACTGAGCCAGATAGTGTGCGAAGGACTCTATGCACATTATTTAGTATAATCCACGTGACAATCCTCTGAGGTATGTGTTAGTATTATTCCAATTCACACATGAGAAAGCTGAGGTTGAAGGAAGATAAGTTATGTGCCAAGGGATATACAGGAGAGGGTAGAGCTGGATTTCAAGCCCACTGGGTGTGCGGAACTGAGCCTTTTCACCATGGGGGCAAATTCCTCCTGAGGACATAGCTGGAAAAGCCATGGAGACCATCTTGTTCTTGGACAGGCCCCTCTCCAGTCACCACAGGGGCCTGGGACTCCCATTCCTTCCTTCAAAAAGCTCAGCAGTCTACTTGTGTTCATGTTGGGTCACTACACATGGTTTTATTTGAAGAAAGGACCCCAGAGTTTAAATCTATTTGAAAACCCCTGGTAAATTCAGTGCCTGCCCTCTTTTTACAGGTGAGGCCCAGAGAGAGGACATGACTTGCTTAGGGGTTACACACTTAGTTTCTCTGTCAATCTTTCTAAATCTAGGATGAGATCTTCCCACTGTATCAGGCTGCCTCAACAAACAGGGAGGTACAAAAATAACCAAATCCAGGAAGGGGGGCAGTGGTCTGTGTCTCCTCCAATAATGCCATGGGACAGCCAAACCCACTTTCTTGATTTCCCTTGTGGCCCTCCTGTTGGATATCTGCCTTGGGACCCATCTCTTCTGGGCATAAAGAAAGAATGGGCTGCATCAGTTCTCTACCCTCCTTGTCACCCAGATGGTCAAACATGCAAAAGGAAAGGAGAGCTGGGGCCAGAGCCAAGGCAGGCAAAGAGACTCCTCCCTCCAGTCTTTCCACATTTATATTTTTGGAATCTCAGGCTCTCTCCTCCCCCTAGGCTTTCCTAGTAGCCCACCAGGGAGAAGAAGAGGGAAAACTGCCATAAATTTCTCCTATTTATACAAGAAGACAGAGTTTCTTGTGCCAGAAAAAACACAGAAAGGGAGCTGTCAGAGGAGAAGGGACCCAGCCCCATACCTTCTGGGGTCAATTTATCTTCCCAAATCGTGGCTTGGGGGCTACCCTAACATTGCCTGTATGAAATGCAGGCTTTGACTTGGGGCAGCCAGGACAGACAGTGCCTGAGCTTTGTCTCTGATCACTGTTTTCCTGCTTCATCTCAACCTCCCCCTACCCCTTATGCTCTCTTTTTTAAAAACAACTTTCTTGAGGTATAATTCACATATCATACAATTCACCATTTGAAATGTACAATTCAGTGGTTTTAGTATATTCACAGATATGTCAAACCATCACCATAGTTAATTTTAGAACATTTTCATTGCCTCAAAAATAAATCTTGTAACCTTTAGCTATCACCTCTCTATCCCCCCATATTCCTTCTTGCCCTTAGCAACACTAACGTACTTTCTGTCTCTGTAGATTTCCCTATTCTGGACTTTTGTATGAATGGCATCATATAATAAGAGGCCTTCTGTGACTAGCTTTTCATTGAGCATAGTGTTTTCAAGGTTCATTCATGTTGTAACATTAATCAGTACTTCACTCCTTTTCATGGCTGAACAATATTCCGTTGTGTGGATATAGCACATTTTGTTTATTCATTCATCCATTGATGAACATTTGGGTTGTTTCCACCTTTTGGATATTATGATTCTTCCTTTCCTCTTATTCTCTAGACATCCTGGATAGTATCAAATGAGGTCTGTGGGCAAGAATGGGTATTTCTTATATTTGAGAACACCTAATATCCATGAAAGCAGGGTCTTGGCACATGTCTTCTTTCATGTTAAGTACACGTACTAGCTGGAATTTTCCTCCCTCTGTTGTTACTAAGGTAGATCTACTCCCTCCTTTATTAATTCTCCCTTTTTATTATGATTGCTATGTTGATCACTTGTAGACTCTTCAGACTAGGGGATTCAGACTCTTCTCTTGGGACTTCAGAGACACAGAGTATATGAATCAATGTCTTCCCACCAGGAAAAAGTTCCCTGAGTCTGGTCTTAAGTGATTCTCCAGTATCTCACAGTGGAAGGAAGGTCTGTGAAGGCTCCAAAGTCAAGGGAAAGTGATGTTCTTGGAGGTATGACTGAGCCCAGAATCCAGGCCTTCAGTTTCCATGTCCTTGCCTGGCCCATTTCAGTCTTCAGACATGCTTTGAGCTCAATCCAGTCACTCAGCAAGCAACAGACACTGCCTTTGCCCTCATGGACCTTGCAGTTCTAGTGGTGAGAGTAAGATGAATACAAGTGAACAAAACAATGGCAAGTTGTTCAAGTTTCTAAACACTGTTCAGTGAATGAATGAACCAACAACTACTTACTATGTGCTCTGGAATGAAAATGTGAAAAACATCAATCATAAATCACTTTCTGCTACCACTGCCTTTCCTAGTCTGGAAGTCAGCATTCTTTTCCACCCCTTGGAGACAGTGGGCAGATATTACCAAATGTTAGGTAGTAAGAGCTACCACTTATTGGACCAGATATCCAACGAAGGGGTTTATAGATCTCATTGATTTTCGTCCTTTGAATTAGGCATCAACATTTCCATTTTGAAGATGAGAAAAACTGAGACTCAGGGTTTAAGTAGCTATGTGAAATTACATCCATACAGTGAGTGGCAGAAAATTTGCTTGGGACACTGGGATATGTACGTGTTTTTATTCCTAGCACCTCATAACAAATGCCAACATCTCTTCCTGCAGCCCTAGCACAGAGGGAGCTAATCAGTTTCCCCTCATGCCCAAAGGCAAAGTGACCAAGGTGGAGGTGCCAAGGTCCCCTCACAGCCTCCTGTCGAGTGGCTATTCCTGCTTCACGGCTAAGGAAGAGAAGGACCCGTTTTGCTTTCACGGGCTTTTTCCTTCCAGCCCTTGCTGGGCTGCGCTTGTTGTTGTGTGTGGGAGGGACCGTGAGAGGCCTGGATATTGTCAGCAAAAGACTTGAACAAGCCAAAGAGCTGATGATGTTGAAAAGAAGGGGACCTTAACAAGGCAGATAATCAAAAGTTGATGACTGACAGCCCCTTTCGCATCCCTTCACCCCCTGCTACATCAGGCCTCTTACATGATCTTGATGACGATGACGAATAACAAACATTATATATACATTGTGATTTTCACATGCCTTTGTTCACTTCTCACAGAAAATGTGAGAGGTATCCAAGGCTGAACTTATTACAGAAAAAAAGTTTATGGGATTAGAACCTTAATTTTATGTAATGAAATATACATAGTGCTTACCATGGATCACATACTCTCCTAAATAGTTCATAACTTTCTTTTTTTAGAGAGATGGAGGTCTTGCAGCTGGGCATGGTGGCTCACACCTGTAATCCCGCCACTTTGGGGGCCCAAGGCAGATGGATCACCTGAGGTCAGGAGTTCGAGACCAGCCTGACCAACATGGTAAAACCCTGTCTCTATTAAAAATACAAAAATTAGCCCAGTGTGGTGGTGCGTGCCTGTAATCCAAGCTACTCCAGTGGCTGAGGCAGGATTATCGCTTGAACCTAGGAGGCAGAGGTTGCAGTGAGCTGAGATCATGCCATTGCACTCTAGGCTGGGCAGCAAGAGTAAAACTGTCTAAAAAAAAAAAAAGAGAGAGAGAGAGAGAGAGAGATGGGGAACTTGCTATGTTATCCAGGCAGGTCTTGAACTCCTGGGTTCAAGCAATCCTTCCACCTCAGCCTTCCAAGTAGCTAGAGACTATGGGCCCATGCCACCAGGCCTGGCTCTATCTCGTAACTATTAACTCATCTACTCTTTTTACCACCAGATGAAGTAGGAGTTACTGTTACTCACTTTTTTTTTTTTTTTGAGACAGAGTCTTGCTCTGTTGCCAGGCTGGAATGCAGTGGCACAATCTTGGCTCACTGTAACCTCTGCCTCCTGGGTTTAAGCGATTCTCCTGCCTCAGCCTCCCAAGTAGCTGAGACTACAGGCACCCTCTACCATGCCCAGCTGATTTTTGTATTTTTAGTAGAGACAGAGTTTCACCATATTGGCCAGGATAGTCTTGATCTCCTGACCTCGTGATCCGCTGGCCTCATCCTCCCAAAGCGCTGGGATTATAGGCATGAGCCACCGCACCCAGCCTGTTATTCACATTTTTAAGAAGAGGAAGCTGAGGCATAGTAATCAAGTATCTTGCCCAAGGTTGTGCAGCCAGCAGGTGGTAGAGCAGGGATCGTGAGCCCAGCCCCAGCATCTGTGTATAACCACTTCACCAGGTGGGCACATGATGACTACACTTGAGACTCTAGTTTGTTTGTCTGGTGCCCCCCCTTCCACCTGCCTCCCTCAGACTTTACGGCCCATTGGAAAAAGCAAGCCAGGGCTGTGGCTCCCAGGGTGACGATCCTTCAGCTGCCTCCTTGGCACTGTCATTCTCTCCTTCCATCTCTTGCCAAGGGCTGCAGCCGGGAATTCCACAGACGGTTTGCCATGGATCAAGATTTCTCCCGAGAAAGAGCTCACAGGAAGGCTGCAGTGAGAAATGAAGTCACTTGCTACTCCCCTTATTTCTCCATCAGGAGGATGAAGTCACCGCACATTTGAGTGGGTGCTATCAAAGCGTAGCCTCTGGCCAGCATGGAGACAAACGTGGGCTGTGTGGCCCATGGCTGAGTGGCTGCAAGGAAATCTGAGATGGTAGATGATTGAATTGATTGAAATAAAATTTCTGCAGGAGGGCTGCGTGTCATTCATTCAACAATGCTCCCTGACCCGGGCCCAGGGCTGTGCACATGAGCTGCAAATGGGTTTGTTCATTCGTTTACCTATCTATTTGCTTATTTATTCAATAAATTCTGATTATGCCCTAAGAGGCACTGTGCTAGATGTCGAGGATGAACAAGACAAAATCCCTGCCCCACAGGGGCTCACGCTCTAGAGAGGGCGGTGGAAGGAATATCCACAGTGATTTGTATCATCTGCTGAGGAAAGAGAGTCATTTACTATGACCATTTGACATCCTCACCCCCCAGTGCGGCCCTTCTCTTTGTCTCTCCATGCTGGGAGTGAGCAGCCCCTGGCCAGCTGCCCTTCAGACACAGCCCTCTTCCCTCAAGCTGTCCTCTGGCTGGATCCCACCTTCCTGATGAGCTGGACCATTTGTGTTGAAGAAGGAGTCTTGACTCTCATCCCTGTCAGTTGCTGTTTGGCTGTAGGCAGTGACAGAGGTGGCAATGAAAGTAGCAGAGAGCTGGGCGCAGTGGCTCACACCTGTAATCCCAGCACTTTGGAAGGCTGAGATGGGCGGATCACCTGAGGTCGGGAGTTTGAGACCAGCCTAACCAACGTGGAGAAACCCGGTCTCTACTAAAAATACAAAATTAGCTGGGTGTGGTGTCACAAGCCTGTAATCCCAGCTACTCCAGAGGCTGAGGGAGGAGAATTGCTTGAACCTGGGAGGCGGAGTTTGCGGTGAGCCGAGACAACACCATTGCACTCCAACCTGGGCAACAAGAGTAAAACTCCAGCTCCAAAAAAAAAAAAGGGCAGCAAAAAGCAGCAAAGAGAAGGCTTTGGTGTCGGAACTCATGGGTGGGTGGGATGGGATGGGATGGGATGGTTTTCTGTTTGCCCCCCGTGTTCTCTGTGCTGCTGTGCCCAGAGAGACTGACCTCTGCAGACTGTGTCACCTGGACCCCCGATCTCTGGGCCAACAGAGGCCCTGGCAGGGAAGGGGAGAGAGGAGTCAGGGTATCTGTTTCCCCCATTCCCTGCCAGCCTCCCTCTTTTTCCTGCCGGAAGTGCTGGTGGTGGTTGTGGTTCCTCCATGGCCACAGCTCTGCTGAGCGGCCTCTCTCCTGTGTCCCGTGAGCCCCACTGGCAGTGCTACCCATTTGGTAGTGCTGTTTCTATTCTGGTGCCACACCACATTAATTAGTTTTCTTCATCTAGTCTATGCCTTTAGAAATTGTCACATCATTAAACCCTTTGGTGAAACCCTTTCAAATGTGTCATTTGCTCTCTGTTGCTGCCCTGACTGGCTCACCTGGGTGCAGAGGAGCTGGGTGCAGAGCAGGTCCAGACTCCAGGTCAGCTTTATTATTCCTCTTTCTCATGGTTTCCCAGAGGGAGAGAGAGAATTTGGACAAATTAAGAGGGACAACCCTCTCCTGAGGGTTTTCATGAAGGGGTGAGGATCACTGCCGCTAGCCCCTTTGAAAGCAGAATTAAGAGGCAGTGCAGGAAGGTTTGGCAGGAAGGCTCATGGTTAGACCACAGAGGAGGAAGCAGCCACTGCTGGGGACCCACTCTGTGCTGGTCACTACCAAGCTGAGACCCTCAACCCCTCCTACTATCTTAGCCTCATTTTCAGATGGAAGATTGTAGCCCAGAGAGGTAAAGATCCGGGGAGCAGGATGGGAGCTTCACCCTGTCTCAGTTGCTCTGGCAAAGAGAAGCCTCACCTTGTGATCAGGGGATTGGGAGGGTGACAGATAAATCTTGGCTTAAGTGCCAGCGTAGCACTGGGAAGTCAAGCCAGGAAGCACTGGCTTGACTCCTCGGATCTGGCTCTCACTAGCTGTGTGACCTTGGGCATACCTCTGTTTCCCCAATTCCCTGTGTCTCTGTTTCCTGGTCTATAAAAATGGGGCTAATGATAAGAACACCTGTCTTGCAGGTTGTGGAGAAGGTTGGATTTGTAGTTATGAGGTGCCCAGGACCAGGGCTGGCACACAGTGAGCACCATATACAAGTATTAAAAAATGGAGCCTCCTCCTCTCTCATTTTCCACCCCCTGCCCTCTTCTCATTGCCCACCTCCTCTGCCTTCTCCTCATCATCCCGAAAAAGGGTGAATAGCTACCCAGGAGCCCCTGAACAGGCATGTGGATCCCAGGCCCTTTGTGAGCATGCTTTGCTCCCTGCCCTGCCCCCTGCCATCACCATTCTGGATGGAGCAATAAGGATGGAGACACTTAGTTGGGGCATCCACTCCAGGTCCAATGCCAGTGGGAGTAGCCTCGATGGGTTGCGCACAGACTGGCTTCTTCTCTCTGCAGCCCCCTCAACTTCCCAGAGCTGCAGGGGGCCTGGGAGTTCTTGGTAACACCACATTAAGCCTCTGTTTGTGGGAACTTTAATTTAAACACAAATTAGAGATGGCAAATGACTCTGGCAACTGGATAAGCCATCCCAGGAGAACAAGGAGAAAGCCAAGAGAATCAGCCTAGATAAGGCCTGAATTTAAACTAGTGTCGATACCCAGAAGCCCAGAACAGATGAATTCCGGGGGTCCTGAAGGAAGAACCCCAGAAGCTCCACACCTCAGTTGCCCTTGGTCTGGGCTCTCTGACAACTCCCTCTCCTGTGTTCTCTATATTTCTATCTTTTTGCGAAATTCCAACCTGATTCTTTGGCTCCATCCCTCTCTCCCCGCCACTGTTTTAGAGAAGGCACTTTCTTTACTTTGCTTCTCCTCTTATTCTGTGACCTACTATTCTGAGAAAGTTCTATTTGTTATCTAACCATCTATGCTACTACCTTTAAGAGCCTAATACATGTGCTTAGCGGTAGCTCTGGGAGTTTCTGTTCGGGTGGCAAATGTGGTGTAGTAAAAATAACCTGAATGAGACCTGGGTGAACTTCTGTGTCTCAGTTTTCTCATCAGTACGATGAGTGTGTGAGAAAGAATCTGTAAGGACTTGTAAGCTCTGACTTCTCACAGAGAATCTGAGGACAAGGACATCCCAGGAAATCTCTGTTGTTCTAGAACCCATGAATTTTCCACAGGTCTACACTATTCTACTGTTTGGAGGTGAGGGTGGGGAGAGCAGTCAAGCCTGTTGATTCCTTTCTGGGAGGGGTCTACACGCTTTGCTTCCACCCCTCCATTCACAGCCCAGGTCCAGGCCAGGCCCAGGAGAGAGGCTGCCTTTCCAGTTCCGTCAAGGCCTGCTGAGCCTGGCTCTGTGGGGCTGTGGCTGCTAAGATGTTGTCTCTCTTCTCTGGGGTGGGAGCAACATATGTTCCCTCTGTCACAACACCTGTGAGGGTGGCAGAGGGATGGCAACCCCCAAGAGGGCAGAGTTCTATCTCTCCAGCTGACCTTGAAGAATCTTTGTATCCTGCTTTTCTGGGAGGCTTAAAATGAAGGCAGAAGGAGATCTCACCACAGTCCCAAAGCCCCACTAAATGGGGAGCTACTGTCTTTCATCTTTCATGCAGTGGAAAAGAAGACACCTTAGCTACAGCAAGAGGAAAGAAGGTCAAATCACAGGCAGAACTTTCAGGTTGAATACTGGAGCAGACTGTGACCCCAAGAGGTCATCCATGACCCTTGGTCTCAGAGAATGCCTATGAGGCCCTGGTCCTTGGCTGGGGTGGGGACAATAACCCCACAGCCCCATGCCAGCCTAACTTGGGAGTCAGAAGGCCCCTGGGACTAGAATAGAAGGACTTTGGCATTTTCCCTGGTCCAGGTCCCTTAGACAGAGGTGGGCAGCTGCCATCAGGGGCCTGGGGCCCAGCTCCCCGCTTGCCCACCTCCCCGCTCCTGAGTGCCTGGCTGCCCCTGGAGCCCCAGGCTTGCCTGCCATCTGGGCAGCTCAGAGGAGAGCCCACTGCCAAGGGAGTGCCAGCATTGATTTATAGCCCACAACCTTGGCAGGCTCAGGCTGTGTGCCCAAACCTCCTTTGCTCAGGGAAGAGATGTTCCTCTTAAAGGGACAGTGCAGAGGAATGCAGGGATGTCCAGGATGAAAGCTGGCAGGGGGCTGGCACGGACAACCTCCACCCATCAGGACTCTGGGTGACTGTCACTCCCTAGGGAAACTTCTCCCTCGGGAGCCACCCATCACACCCGTTATCATACACTATCCTTTGAGCAACTGTAACATGTTAATATGGTTAATGTCAGTCTCTCCCATTGGACTGTGATCTCTAGAAGGGCAGTAATCAGGCCCATTGGGCTCATTCCTGAATATTCAGCACCCTGCACAGTGCTTAGCACCTAATAAGATCTCAGTAATAATTTGTTAAGTGTGGGGAAGAATGAATAAATGAAGGTCCTTGTCCATGGGGTAGAAGGAAGCCCATGTGTCTTCTTATTGCCTGCTATGGTTTCCAAGACCCTGCAGCATCTGCTGCTACCCCCAGGATCTCTCCCTCCGGGACCCCTCCTCGCCCCTGTCATATCAACCCAGGACCAATGGGGCCAATCTTATCTGGATACGCTTGCCTCCCACTTTCCTTGAGTTACCTCTCTGAAGTCCTTCACACAGTGTTCTTTTCCTCCCATTTTCCTTCCTCCAGGATACTTTCTGAGATTACCTATGGCCTCAGTTTCTGATTCAGATAATCTTTAGTTTGTTTGTTTGTTTGTTTGTTTTTTGAGACAAAGTCCCCCTCTGTCACCCAGGCGGGAGTGCAGTGTCACAATCTCAGCTCACTGCAACCTCTGTCTCCTGGGTTTAAGTGATTCTCCTGCCTCAGTCTCCAGAGTCGCTGGAGTGTGCAATCGCACCCAGCTAATTTTTGTATTTTTAGTAGATACAAAGTTTCCCCACATTGGCTGGTCTCAACCTCCTGACCTCAAATGATCTGCCCACCTCAGCCTCCCAAAGTGCTGGGATTACAGGTATGAGCCACTGCGGACCTGGCATATTCAGCAATATTTACTGAGTATCTACCGTGTGCTAGGTACTGGTTGCCAAGAATTCATGAATAAACAGGACAGGCATGATCCCTGAACTCAAGGACTATACATTTCAGACAAAAATATAAGTAAGCAAATTAGCAAATACGTACATGCAATTGTGAGACCTATTAAGAAAAGGGCAATCACAGACAGGGTGGAGCGGGCCCTTAAATTGGGCGGTTGGAGAAAGTTTCTCTGAGGAAGTGACACTTGGGCTGAGGTTTAAAGTTGGAGAAGGAGCCATGTAAATAGTGAGGCAGCAGCATTCTAGAAACACCTCAGTCACCTGGGTGTGCACAGCAGCATTTGGCAGATGGGGGTGGGAGAGGTGGTTTCCCGTACTGCACACTCCTATCTCTTTTACTTTTTGAAAACCCCACACCTTCAATGTAGGAGGACCATTGCTTAAAATCCCTGGAGAAGCAGCTCTGGCCTCACCTGGGAGCTGGTTAGAAAACAGAGCTCAGGTGCCACCCCAGATCCACTGAATCAGAGTCTGCATTTTAACCAGGTCCAGGGTCATTTGTATGCACAATGGGGGTTTTTTTTTTTGTTTGTTTACTTGTTTTTTTGTTTGTTTGCTTGCTTCGTTTTTTGAGATGCAGTTTCGCTCTGTCACCCAGGCTGGAGTGCAGTGGCTTGATGTCAGCTCACCATAACCTGTGCCTCCCAGGTTCAAGCGGTTCTCCTGCCTCAGCCTCCTGAGTAGCTGCGATTACAGGCACATGCCACCATGCCTGGCTAATTTTTAGTAGAGACGGGGTTTCATCATGTTAGTCAGACTGGTCTCTAACTCATGACCTCATGATCCACCCACCTCGGCCTCCCAAAGTGCTGCGGTTGCAAGTGTGAGCCACTGCGCCCAGCCACACAGTGGTGTT